ACATCTCTTTCTGTCCCCAGCCAGAAGAAGTTCTCTGCTTTTAAAGGATGTGATTAGACTGGGCTCCAACTAGATACTCCAGAAAATCTTCCTGTATTAAGGTCTCTAGCCCTAATCACATGTGCAAAGGCCCTGCTGTCATGTGACAAACTATCCATAGGTTCCAGGTTCCAGGACATACACATCTTTGCCACATGCTACAGCGGATTCTGTCCCTCTACGAGAATTCCATCTCGGAGCATTTCTGAGCTGGGGAAATCTGAGTTCTTTTTTTTTTTTCCAAAAAGCACTTGTCGAACCCTCATTGTGTGCTGGGGGACCTCACTAAATGTTTGGAATAGAAATAGAAATGCTGATACTGATACAAAAAAAAAAAAGAAGAAGAAGAAGGTGGAAGGAGGAGGAGACACGCTCCTGGTGAACACCCAGCACGCGTGGCTGCCCTCCACGCACTCTCCAATGCCAAGGGCATCCCACTGTAAAAGTGACAAAATGGGGGTTTGAGCTTCCGTAATTTGCCCAAAGTCACGCAGCGTGTACACTGCAGAGTCAAGACTCGCCCCCTCCTTCCTCTCTGACCCGAGGGTTTGAGTTCCTCAGGACACTTCCAGTCAACAGAGGGCAATGTCACACCTTCTGGGACCAAGCCCTGGACCCTCCCCAAGAGGGGTCACTTCCCTCTTTCCCCAGAGGGGGAGGCTGTCTGCATCTGTGACCTTCCTGAGGGACCTTGGGGGGTTTCCCAAGGCGCTGGAGGGGAGAGGTGGCTGGCCTGCAGAGCCCAGAGCTCTCCTGCGAAGCTGGGGGTGGGGGGTGGGCTGTGGCGATGGGTGGGCTCTGGGCCCTGAAGTCTCCTCTGGCCAAATTTACATGTTCTTGGTTGTCCAGGTGCAGTCCTTCCTCTTTTCGGCGACCCGATGTATTTATAACTCATCCTTCAAAGGGTGTGAGCTGTGAGCTTCAGTCTTCAGACCGAACCAGGAACAAATTAATACATGCTGTTGAGCAGAGTGAGGAGCCGTGGAAAAAAGCCAGAAAAATCTAAATGAAAGAAGCACTGCACGAGAAGAGAAAGTCACCTCCGGTCACTACTGTTCTCAACTACGACAGTGGCCGCTCGAGCAGCTGCAGCGCACTGGTGCTTTTACGTGTCCGTGATGGACGACTATGTTTTTTCACTCTGCACACGCCCCTGAGAGTGTCGATGCAGGTGTTTCGTCGCTAAGTCAGAAGGTGCTCAGAGGTGTTAAGTATCTTGTTCTGGGACACAGAGCCGGCAACGTGCAGAGTCCGGGTTCCAAGGCAGGCGTGCCTCCCGCCGGCCCACGGCCACGCTCCTTCCACAGGCCGCACGGAGACCAGCAACGGCGCAGAGTCCACGGGTTCATTGCATTGTCACAATAACTCTGTGCAGCTGGTCAGCTTCTCCCCCTGTGCTACACTGAAACACATCAAGCTTCAGAAAGGCCAGAGGATGTGGCCAAGGCCACGGCTTGGGGGGCGGGGGGGACCGGAAGGAGGAAAAGAGGGTGAATCTGTAACCGGAGGCCAAGCTTTGGCATGTCTGTGCTGTATTGTCATTCCCTGGGGACAACATGGGATCTGAGGTGACACCTGCTTTCCACCTAATACGACAGGCCCGGAACTCCCGGGTCTTCTCTCGGCTTCAGGGTTTGGGGAGGTGGAGGGGTGACTTCTCCTTATCTGTCCTCGTTTGCTATTTTTTCTCCTCAGAGCGTCCTTTCCCCAGCTCCTCCATGTCTGGCTCCAGCTTATCAGACAGACAGATGCCATCTCCTCCTGAGAGGGACTGGAGTGGCCCTTCTCTCTCATCACCCTCACTTCTGGCCTGGCACACGACTGGACTCCAAGATGTTTGGGGAACAGCTGGATGGGGGCGAGGGGGGAAAGGAGTAAGTCTCAGAGGGAGTGGAGACCTGCTGAGCTCCAACTTAAATATAAAGAGACAGGGAGAATCCCGTGTTGCCTTAAGGGAGGACTGGCAAAGGCCTTGGACAAACCTGGGCCCCAGGCCCCCTTCCAAGATCGCCCACACCCCAGGCCAGGTGGCACTTCAGCAGAGCCTGGAGGCCGGTCACCACCCCGGGGGTGTCGGTTAGCTCCCCACCTCGTCTGTCTCCCCATCGTGACCCTCACTCTCTTTCTGGCCTCAGAAAGACCCTGAACGTTGACTCTCGTAGGCACAACCAGGATGGGGGTGTCAGGGTGTGGCACCAGATGCCACAGTCTTGCTCTGGGGGCCCTTAAGGCAGTGATACCCAGACATGGCTGAGACCCAGAGGGTGATGTAAAAACACACACACTCCTTGATTTGAAAGAAGCACAGAGTTCAAGGGAGATAGAAAGAGAAAGAGAAAGAAAGTGTGGGGGAGAGAGAGAGAGAGAGAGAGAATGTTATTATAAATGCTAAATTAAACAAGAATCTCAGCCATAATATTTAGGTCTAAACAGAAATTGCTCTAAAACATAGCATGATTTTAGCAACGACTACAGTATACTAGAAGAGACTCTCTGATCTAGAGACTAGCAATATTTCTCTGCCAATGCCCCGGAGCTGTCGCACGACCAGGAGTGTACGAAGTGTGTTTCCAGCAAGCCGCTCGGCCTGTGAACAATGCACGTGAAGTCCTAATGCGATCGGCGCAGTTAACTGGCTTTCACTTGTTGGAACTGCCCCACGGAACGAAGCATGGAAGGCTTCGATGGGGTTGCAGGACAAAAGACATCTAAGAGCGCGGACAGTAAAAAAGAAAAGAAGAAGAAAATGAAGGGCCATGAAGATGCAAACGTGCTCATCACTTAAGTAGCAAGCTAGGATATCGCTGGAAAATGGATGGACTAAGAAAAATACACGGCTTAGAATTACAAAAGTAACCAAAAGAAGAAATAAGGATAATACTGATGTCCCACTTGGGAGGCGTGTGAGGAGGGGCGGGGTGGGGACCGAGCCCTCATCTTTCTCAGCGGAACATCAATGGTGCGAAGCGGATGCATCACACAGAGGGATGATATTCGGACCATCTGGAGGCACCGGGTGGCTAACTGAGATGCAAACTGGAAGAAGTGGCTTCTGCAGGATGGGATGATGGCCGAGGGGGACCTTAGGCGGTCACTCCTTAAGTACAGGTCTCGTTAATTTGAAAATACGGATTTACGAGCCCTACCTCACACCTATTTTTTTTCTCCTAAGTTTAGTAACAAAAATCTGTGTTTTCACAACCTTCTCAGGGGGATTCATGCGTTCAGACCTGCCTTGGGACAATTGCCTGATGCCCTTGGTTGGTCTGGGAGGCACTGTCCTTGCTGTCCCAGCCCCAGCGGGGACCTGGGAGTCCCCTGGCCCCAACACTCTGCTGCCTCTGTTTGGGGGCGGAGGACCTCATAGGCTTGTGTTGCAACGACCCTTTGAGAAAGTCACTTGCCTCATCTTTCTGCCTTTCTAGTTGCTCCCAGCTTAGCAGGAAGCTGACTCAGACCAGTGACTGCACTCAGAACAAATGTCTTCACTTAACTTCTTGATTCTTGCCTTGCTGATCCTGATGGTCACTCTGGCCCCCAGGGTGAGGTGCTGATCCTTTCACCTCCTGACTCTCTGGTGACCCTTGCCTTGATGCTGGGTGTACTGTGGCCTTCCTGCCTTTCGCAGAGGGGGAGAAGAGATTGTGACATTATGACATCTTCGGGGTTGCCCTGACACTCATCAGGTTGGCCCATCCCATGTGGAAAGGGACAAGGGTTTCAGGGGAACATCTGCCATTCAGGAGAGAGGACACCAGGGTGGGAGCTCGGCCCCAAGTTCTGAAACCAGCCCTGACAGGGGCTGCTGGGGGGACCCCGGGTGTGCCCTTCTCCACCCTGCTCTCAGTGTCTTCATCATGACACGGGCTCCGGTCTCCCCCAGCTCAATCTTCCTGACCGTCATATGATACCTCTGGACACCTGCCACGACAGCCTGCTTTGTTGGGACAGCAATATCCCTACTCTAGGGAATAAGTCATACTGGTCTAATTGAATCGTGGTAATCCTTCCTAAAAGTGGGGACACAAATCCGTGAGATGTAAAGAGAAGTCTCCTGGTAATTTCTGGGAAAGATTTTCCTCCAAGGAAAGTAAGGCAGTTGGAGGGATGGCCCTTTGTACACAGGATGCTGTCAGGAGGGGGTGTGACATCTGGAGCTGTGGCAGCCATATTGTGTCACCGAAGTGAGATGTCACCATGCGATGAAGGCAGCAGAGAGGAGGTCTGGAAAGAAGTTGGGACTTGGTGACATAACTGAGCCATCGCTCAACCCTAGGATCATCCACCCTTAGGAGTATCCTCGGTGAAGGCACTTAGTTGGGTATTTAGTGTTTATACTGAAGCATCCTCACTGGTAGAGCCTACGATGTGGATTAGAGGTTACCTGGGGTCTTTGGTTCTACGAGCAGGTTCTGTAGGACGTACAACAAGGCTGTAGACCTATCTGAAGCCCAGGAAGTGCAAGGACACGGAGAAATCAGAAGACCCAAGTTGAATGCTGATTCACCGCCTCCTCCTTATGTAAATTTAGGTGCACCATAAGCCTTTTGGGAGTTTTACTTTCCATATCTGCAAAATGGGGTGACAGTCCCGACATATGAATCATCACTGAATTTGATCTATGTTCAAATGAGATGGTATGTGGAAACATATCTTATGCCATGCGAATGACAGAGAACGTTAATGAGCTCCATCTGCTTTTGCTTTGGGTTAATTGTGTGTGTGTGTGTGTGTGTGTGTGTGTGTGTGAGAGAGAGAGAGAGAGAGAGAGAGA